AGATATACCAGCCACTGGACACCCGACAACAACAGATATACCAACCACTGAACACCCAACAACAACAGATATATCAACCACTGAAAACCAGACAACAACAGATATACCAACCACTGAAAACCAGACAACAACAGATATACCAATTACTGAACACCCAACAATAACAGATATACCAACCATTGAACATCTAACATCAACAGACGAACCAACCACTGACCACCCGACAGCAACAACTGTATTAACCACTGAACACCTATCAACAACAGATATACCAGCCACTGGACACCCGACAACAACAGATATACCAACCACTGAACACCCAACAACAACAGATATACCAACCACTGAACACCAGACAACAACAGATATACCAACCACTGAAAACCAGACAACAACAGATATACCAATTACTGAACACCCAACAATAACAGATAAACCAACCACTGAACATTCGACAACAACAGAAATATCAACCGCTGAACAGCCGACAATAACAGATGTATCAACCACTGAACAGCCGTCAATAACAGATGTACTAACCACTGAACAGCCGACAATAACAGATGTACCAACCACTGAACACCCAACAATAACAGATGTATCAGCCACTGAACAGCCGACAATAACAGATATACCAACCACTGAACACCAGACAACAACAGATATATCAACCACTGAACATTCGACAACAACAGATATACCAACCAATGAACACTCGACAATAACAGATGTACCAACCAATGAACACTCGACAATAACAGATGTACAAACCACTGAACACCCGGTTACAACAGATATACCAATCACTGAACATTCAACAACAACAGATATATTAACCACTGAACATTCAACAACAACAGATATATTAACCACTGGACACCAGACAACAACATATATACCAACCACTGAACCCCTTACGGAAACAACATTGGAAATTTCTAATAACCAAACGGAGAATCAATCTGATATTAATTTTTTACCTATCTATTTCAAACATAGAGCATGTAACGGCATCTTGTGTTTGTGTAAATGTCCGTGCAATCAAATTCTAAATAGAACAAAATCATTAGAACATGCTAAAGAACAACAAAACCAGCTACTAGTTGAGAAGAAATCACTTTCTAAAACTGTGCGACGTAAGATAAGTTCTGAAAATTTGAGGACGTCGGAGTCTAACTTAGGACTCTATACAGTTGTAGTCATCTTTATAATGGTGTCAGGAGTTGTTATTTTGGACAGTATTTGGTTTTTTGCGTGGATCTACGAGAAAATCAAACAATATGAAGAAAAAGATCAACAGGGGAAATAAAGAAATATGATCACGGTGCAAGCCTTGTGACAAAGTCGTATTAAGAACTCCATAAACGCAATGGAAACTCAATTGGAGCGCAACATATGCTGTCATAAGCGTAGAAGTTTGAGTCAAAAACTCGACGTTGAAATCGACGTTGCAATGTAACGTTTTTGACAGAGACTTTGCCACGTGTGTGCTGTGCTTTTATTGCGTTCTACGAGATGTGACTTTCATGGTAGACCGTAATTTATAGTACGTTTTCATTCATCTCATTCATAACTAAAACCGTAGGCTACTTGTACTTTATTACAACCAGAGAACTAATAGCCATGGAAACAACAATTAAATTGGAAACATCATGTAGAAGGTTTCTAGCACTGTTTTACTGTGTATAACAATAGGACATTGTTAGTGTTGTTTTCTAGGTCAATGTCCACAAATTCGACAAAATTAAATGGCTCCTAGTATATTTTATTCTATGTTATTTACAAAAGAACAAAAATAACGTACAATTTGTTATTAGCTAGCGCATTCAGCTGTGACCGAGCATCATCAAACTATCATTAAAAGTGCGTTCTGTGTTGTTTTCTAGGTCAATGTCCACAAATTCCACAAAATTAAATGGCTCCTAGTATATTTTATTCTATGTATATTTTATTCTATGTTATTTACAAAAGAACAAAATAGAGAAATAACGTACAATTTGTTATTAGCTAGCGCATTCAGCTGTGACCGAGTATCATCAAACCATCATTAAAAGTGCGTTCTGTGTCGTTTATTTCTGTGTTTTTGTAAAATATTTTCTCTATTCACATTTATTCAATCAGGAAATCAAGCAATTATCCAATAATTGGCAAAAGAGTTACTTTCGAGTACTTTGATAAGAATACTTTCAACAATGCTTTTAGTATAAAAAATATCTTCATAATCGATGAATCATTAAGTCCTTTGCAATCTAGATAAACTTATATTAGTATGTAATGGAATGTTATATAATTTCAATACGGATAGTCCGGATGCCGAATAGCCTTTTTTTTGGCGAAGCATGCTTCGTAATTATGGAGTTTTTGGTTGATTCATCATCTCTGGGCTATCCTGAACCTGAATCAGCTGGGTACCAGATGTGCACCATTGAGGAATTTTTAGAGGGAAAAAATAAATTGGCCGCTACCGAATTCTGTTGTAGGCAATATCTTCACTTCTTATGCAAAATTCTAATGAAAATTTGTTTTCTTGGTCAGGGAATCAAATTATGATAGAATTAAACGCCTGTTCATTGAACTTGTGCCATTTTCCAAAATGGCCACCGTTCAAATGTGAACAGTTGGGGCTGTCGAGACTTAATTCACAATGAGGCAACACTGTGGAGTCACAAATCCTCTTAGAGGGGTTCTCTCGAGAAATTGAATTGATTTAGTGCATTCTGACACACAATTTAGTGCAAAAACTATAAGAACATATTTTTAATCTGTTTAATATTAAGTGGGGGTTGAAAACCAATACGCCAAACACACACCAATATTGTAGGCAAATGCCCCTGTATCCAGACTGGCGCTGTCACTGATTGTTGCTGTCATGTTGACAGGTAGAGGGAACATGAATTGCTCGGGGTTAACCACGGAGTTTCTACAAATAAGTGTCATCACATACATTGTCCAAAGGAAATGGGTGGACTGTTTCTGAACAGAGCACGAATTGAACCGGAGATACTCCGCGTGAACCTGCAGACTCTTAATTTCATCACAATTGACCATAAAAACATAGTATTAGAATATTTCCTCAATCTGATTCCTGTATAGCCCTGAGATGATGAATCAACCAAAAAACTTTCAAGCAAGCTTTTTCAATATTCCTCTGAACTAGGAGTTTTCTGGTCAATTTTACGGCGGGCGAAATCTGAAAGCAAATGATGGCATCTCCGAGAATCGGATCATTCACTTAACTTATTCCACTTGAAAAATTGCAGTTTTTGCCAATTTCCGTTAGTTGCTCATGGTGTACTTTTGAAAAATTAAACCTTGAAAACTTTTCAATATGTCGTATGAAAGTCTGCCATTTGCTTCATTGAATATAAATTTGACCTATATAGTAGTGATTGGTGTTGCGCCATACAATTTTCGAAACACCTGATGTTGCTTCTCTTTGGAGGAGTCCACTCCAAGTTATTCTCTCGATTTTTGCCAAACTTTGGACGAGATTTTGATTAGCGGATTTGTCTTGCTTGGATTCTGGCCATATTTCAGTTAATCATCGACTTGTACAGGAAACCAGTATTTCACACTTATTCTGCCGCATATAAATCTTTTCATATTTCCAAAAACAATTGTGGACATCAAAATATCTAAATCTAGACCAAACAATAGGCATGCAAAAGAGAAGGAAATGTCGAAAATCCTTCAGAAAGTTGGTATCAGTTAAACACCCTTTACTCTCGAATTTAAGGGGCCATTAAAAAGAAAAGTACGGGAAAAAAAGGATGTTTTTGACAACCAAAGTACTCCAAAGTATCATCTCATAATACAGGCAAGTACCCCTTCGACTTTGCAGGGACATATCCATCAAGTTAGCTAAGCGAGTTTATCTGCTCCAAAAGGTCTCCAAAAGTTATACCATATGACCTTGTATATTCCAATTATTTCAGTTACACCAGCTGTACCTCTTCATGAGCGCTCTGATTGTTTCATTACCATGAAATAGGTAACTAGATCAAATTAAAAACAAGATTTTGGTTACCAGATAACCAATATATGTTTGCAGGTCTACTTAAATATAAGCGCTATATAAACTTTATTAAATGAATTGTATCATAACTCAATAGCTAAACAGTATTAATAACAATATTACCAAAGCAAAAAAAATTGTTATTAAATGTTCGAAGTCAAAGTGAACTTTCTAAAAGTAATCTCATATTGAAACAGTAGTTTGTAGTTTGTAATAAAAGCCAGTTGCACCAATAAATCTGAATCAAAATAGAACTCTAAAAATAGTTAGAGGTTACAAACATTTGTATCGATCGTTGAGGTTCAAAATACAGTTGTATTAATAGTAATCAACAGTTTAGAATAAACAAATAATAATTTCGAATCAAAGTTCACAGTTGCATCAATAGTTCGGAATCTAAACACAGATACAACAATAGTTCGAGATCTAAACACAGTTGCATCAATAGTTCGGAATCTAACACAGTTGCATCAATAGTTCGGAATTTAAACACAGTTGCAGCAATAGTTAGGAATCTAAACACAGTTGCATCAATAGTTCGGAATCTAACACAGTTGCATCAATAGTTCGGAATTTAAACACAGTTGCAGCAATAGTTAGGAATCTAAACACAGTTGCATCAATAGTTCGGAATCTAAAATAGTTGCATCAATATTTCGGAATCTAACACAGTTGCATCAATAGT